GGACTCTGAAGAGGGTTGACAGCACCAGCTCATAAAATGTCTCAAGTCAAAAAGGCGATAAGGATGCAGGGTTAATGCGGCTTGGCACACAGTTTTATTTGTGCGGAGGAGGAGAAATCCTGCTCTTCTCCCCCCTCCGAAGAGGCTTACAGCAAAGTGGATACTGTTGCAGGACGGGAAGCAGCGGAGGATGCCCAGCGAAACAGAGCAAGCAGGCGTGAGAACGAGGAACTGACCGTTTTTATTGTGGCCATATCAGACACACTTTGCAGGAGTCATCAAAATGACAATGCTGTAGTGTCACCTTTCTTACAAAAGATACAAGCTAATCAACTAGTCCTCTGGATTTTTTTTATTTTAATTTTGTAATGTTTCATCTGGTATAATGAAAAACAACACTGCATGTTATTGCATGAAGATTTTGCATATAGGCCTACATTTGGTGGTAATGAACTTGTAATTTGCGGTTGTAACAGAAAAAAACACTTTGCGTAACCTATTGAAGTTAACTGAAGTTAGCAGGTGTTCATTGACAGATCAAGTTAATCTAAGTGCCTTCCCCTTCCCACTTGGAAAGAGCAACTTCTCACATACTCTACTACTGAAGTATGGACCATCCAAAAACTAAATTAAGTGCTTGTTTTTCAAATGGAAAATTCAAGTGAATGGCCATGTTTTCTCAAGGTCTTTTTCACACATACAAGGCTGTTGCAATGTTTGTATAGCTGACATGCTGAAGTTTAAAATGAGCATCGGAGTGGGGAAGAAAGGCCGTTTAAGTGACTTTGAGCATTGCATGGTTGTTGGTGCAAGACACGTTTGTGTGAGGATTTCAGAAACTGATGAGCTACTGGGATTTTTCCAAACAACCATCTCTAGGGTGTACAAATGATGATCTGGAAAAGAGAAAATATCCAGTGAGCTGCAGTTCTGTAGGCGAAAATGGCTTGTTGACGTCAGAGGTTAGAGGAGAATGGCTAAACTGCTTTAAGCTGATAGGAAGACAACAGTAACTCAAATAAAGCATTCCGAGATGCTTTTTTTCTTACCTTGATGCAGCCAAGGTATGCAGAAGAGCAGGAGCACAGATGGGATACACCAACTGAAGATCACACTGGATGCCCCTCCTGACAGCCAAGAACAGGTATCTGATGGTTTGCATTGGTGGACACAAAATCGGACAACGTGTAGATAAATTAGAAAAAGTTGGTGTTGGCTGTACTCAAACGACCCCCATAGCCACCAGATTTCAATCTAATAGAACACCTCTGGGATGTGTTGGAACAGGAGATTCACATCATGGATGTAAGCAACTGTGTGATGCTATCATGTCAATATGGACCAAACTCTCTGAGGAATGTTTCCAGCACCTTATTGAATCTGTGCTAAGAACAATTAAGCCAACCGTACATTAACAGGATGCATCTAATAACTGCATGGTGAGGTTATACCTTTGACGGCTTGGTAATGTAACAGTTACAGGCAGTAAGGTTTTAGAGCAAATTGCTGATCACAAGAGGATTTTCAGCCATGTTGCATGTAGTCACTGTAAAAATCTCCTCACTTGCTTCCATTATCCTGAGCCCCTGGATTTCTCTGCTGCTAAACATGCATACACAATGAGACACGGCTTGGCAACAAAACTATTTCTTGTTGGTGTTAGGGATGAGCACCACTGGGAGTGAATTGTACTGCCAGGCTCCACACCACTGATCAACTAAAGCTATTTGTATGTGAATCAACAACACCGCTGTCTTTTTATTAGGGAGGGCCAGTGACCCTATCATGGACACGACCTGTTAAGAGAAGCAGCCTTTTCTTATCTGCATGCCCTTGGAGTATGCGCCTATTGATATGCCACCTTGACTCTATCTTCATGCCAAGATGCTTCCAATTATGCGAGCCGCTGGAGTGAGGCAGAGCGTGGGTTTCTGTACGATGAAAACTAGTCCATGGGTAATGTGATTGTGCTGCTCTTCCCCATAGGTATGGTTTCTGCACACGGAGGGGGGATTAAAATGAACAGCCATTTCTCCCATTTCTCACCATTTTTCCCCCCACAACCTCATGACCCTATAAGCTAGACTGATCTATCTAGTTAAATAGTAAATGGCTTATCACGGGGGTTTGAGCTCTGCTACAGCTATCGATTAGATTTAGCAGTCAATTTTTAAATCATATGTGGGGATTTTTGCTGTGATATAACCTCCTGGCTGTCAGTTCTTCTGTAGACAGCCCAACGTCACCATACAGGCTGACTTAGGTGACCACAGGGCAGCCCAATCATTGACGGGAGGCTGTCACTATGCTGAAGTAATAGGATCTATATTGGACAGCCACTGGGAAAGTGAGAGATGAATAGGGAATATGTGCAGTAACTGTACATAGTCGGTTGAAGTTGCCTAATCTAACAAACTGTTGGTGTCAAACATTATTCTTTTCTTTTATTATTTTCCTGTCAGGATTCCAGAAATAGTTCTCTCCATATGCTGTTATCTCGGTTTGGACTTTGCTGTTCGATACACTGTGCACAAGAAAATGATCTGCACAGTGATTTAGCTCTCAAATCTTTCTCCTGTTTTTGCCATATTCAATTTATTTGGTATCCCAGAAGAGGGCAGCACTTCTTTACCAAACTTGCAACTTCTTGCTTATATAGTATTCTAGTACTTAAAGCTATACTGCGCAATTTAATGAGAAACACGCGAGCAGAGATCATAATCTTGATACTTTTCACACACAAAAAAAAGACTAGAAGAAGGTGCTGCTCATTTACTGCATGCTTCTCGTGCCTTTAATCTAAGCTCTGCTACTTCCTCATTTTCAAAGTGATTCAGACTAAAACACAGCTTGTCACATGCACTGTGATTTATGAAGAAAGCGTAAGACAATTTCAAGCAGACTTTAGTCACTTCAAATTGCACTGCCCTTTTCTGCTCTGTCTTTCTGCCACTCCTCCTCTTCTCCCTTTCTATCTCAACTAGCCTCACTTTTTTCATTTCCCCCCTTCTCCTTCTTTGCTCCTGCTCCACCCTGTAATCAGGCCGGTTCATGGCTCTCATTTGGAGTGGTATATATAGCCGTAATTGTCAGGGTGCAGTACTGAGACTGGGCAGAGCATGTGTACTCTCTCACAGGGCTGTTTTGCAGTAAATCTCTTAGGGGAGAAGAGAGGTCCAAGCTGGGGAGGGAAGGGGTTGGGGTAGTGAACGTGCTAAATAACATGCACATGTGTGAAGACAAATTCAGTTCAACAAAATGCTCAGACAATGCAGAACTGGATGAAATTCTCAAAGCAGCTAAGCAGAGGCACTCTACTTAATCTGCCCCTGTAAGTCATTATGTATCACTGCCTATTCATTTCCTCTCTCAACGAGCCTTACGTGGAAAATGAGCGGTGTCTTGCGATATGCTTTTCTCTACAATTATGCAAATGTGTTCATTATTTAGCAAGGCGTCTCATTGTCAGTAAACGTTAACAATTCCAGGTGATGAGCTGTATGTCAGGTGGTCTGCTTATGATTCATGAGCAGATACTGCACACATACAAAGCAAAGAGAACAGGAAACTCAATCCCAAGTGGAGGAAAACCCAAGTGATCATCTTCAGCATAGTTTCAAATTCAAACATTATACAAGTTCATCTTCCTGAAAGTGATTCAGAAAAAAGCAAGTCAACGTGAAGGCAAAAAGCTGTCACGTGGCTTTCAGGGACAGCATTCCTGCTCAATAATCTGAGATATTATCAAGAAATCCACTCGTGTCTGTCTGCTACACCATGGAACACTGCCTCCAAAAGAGATGACGGCAAAGCCTGTTATGTAGTTCAGTTGTTTGTGTGTGTATTTGAGAGACTATTGGCGTGTGAATGGTTGGTGGGTTCCCTGTAGCTTGTATGGACAGGTCTGTCATTCACTGAGAACACACAGTCTCCATTGTGGAGCTGTCTGTGGACCCCATTAGGTCAGGGCGGAGTGGGGGCTCTCCAAATAAAAACATGTGCTGCAAACAGGAAGTGGGCATGTAAGGATAAAATGAGAACTGCTTATGAATGGGGTATGCTCATATTTCCTCGGTTTTTCCTTCCTCAATTTCTGATTCATCTCAATACAATGATGTCGTTTGCTTGAGTTCCACATGTGTCTACACTGTAGCATGAGCACTTCTGGAGATTTAATCAAGTTCTGACTAACAAAATCATATTCTAGCACGTATTCTAGCAGACACTAGTATCTTGTGTCTGCCTGCATGAAATGATAATTGCGTGCTTTCCGAAGAAGTAAGGAACTGTCTTCCAGAGAACAAATGAAAATGTAAAAGACACATGTGGAATTTTCCAAGTTGCATGCGGTTCACTTAAAAAGTTTAGCATAAAAATAACTTATTTTGAAGAAGTCAAGATAAAGTCAAGTTTTGCCTCATAGTGCGTGTGCGCTTTGGTGAAAGTGCATGAATGGATGCTGAACTCACTCCATGACCCCAGGTGCTCTGCTTTCAAGTTTTCCTGTCTTGTTTGCCCAGCAGCTGTTTCATCTCAGCGAGTGACCACTTCACAGCTCTGCTGTTTTCTTTCTGGGTGGATTTGTCAGCTGTGATCAAATCAGACTTTTGTTAAAAGTAAACTTTCTGTTCAGACATAGTTGATTACTCTACCCACGTCTCCCAAAGTTGGTATGTTTGGATTTAGTCATTAATGCTTTCTTGTTTTTTTACTGGAATGGTTAGTCAATTTCTCAGTTCCCCTGAGAGGCAGTATTCACAAGGGGACTGAGTCAGAGCAAACCTAAGATCTTAAAAGGGAATATAAAACTGAAGAACATAAGATACCCGACACATATCTTCCCACCAATTAACTTGCACATCAAGAGCAGGTAAAAGTTAATGCTACACATAATATCACATCTACAGTTTTTACCAAGTTCATACTGAATTTGATTCGTTTTCTCATCAACAAGTATTCTGCAACATCATGCAAGGAGGAGGCAGAAAACAGAGGACAACTTTGTATGTGATGAAGTTTTATTGATTCACAGTTATGATGGATGAATGGATTTGTTCTTTAACTGAAATGTGGCTCCGACTCAGACAGTGTCTATCTAACTTTCCTCAAGGAAAGACGTAACAAAGCTTATCACCTTCATACCTTAAATTTTACCTGCAAGATAAACATGTGGGTACAGATTACATTTTGTAAGAGTGTTGACAAAAATAAAATTAGAAAAAACAAAAACAAAACAGATCCAGTTTATTTGGTGTCATAATGTATGCATCACAGCTAAAAGCAAACTTAATCACATCATGTTTTTTAGTTTTTAGATGAGGTCAAAATCCCTGAGAGTACAGCTTTGTAGATAAGCACCACGTAGATCACACTCTCAGCTTAAAAGACAGAATTAAAGCACAACTGGCCGTAGAAAACAATACAGTAATATGATGAATATACAGCCACTTAAGCTATGGAGTGGCATATAATGTTAAATAACACAGAAAAAGGCCGTAATATGTTAAAATACACTGTACATAAGCACAAAACAACAGAAAAGCATCAGCAAACAGTAAATTTAGACTTTCCCCCCCAAAAAATCTCTTTGTTTAGCTGGGCATGCATGATTACAGAGCTGTAAAGGGCCTTCTTTGTCAAGGAAAAAAAAGAGTCCCGGATTACGCCAATCTGCTGAAGAAATTAATTAAGTCTGCAGCTGTCTTTATGAGTGACGTGTCTCTTCCACAACATGTCCTGGAATCTGTCCATTAGAAAACCATCTTAATGGGTTTAACCACTAAGCCAGTAAGCCAAACACATCAAACACATTAATGGGTAAATAACATCATTAACACGTGTTCCACGTTGTAAAGAAAATGTTGTATTATTGTTTGCTGTGCTAAGAGATTCAGCAAAAGTGTACAATATACAGTACGTTTTACCAGGCCTTCTGTAAGCACAAACAAGGCCAGTGTTGAAACATGAACAGGACATTTTATTCCATTTTTTTCTCCCAGACAAACATGTTGTTCTCGTAGGAGAGCTGAAAATGCCAGCTTGTGGTTGCTGTATGGCTGCCTACAAAAAAACGCAGATTTGGTAGTAAAACTGTATGTCTGCTTGAGTCTTTCTCCAAACCCTGATCCCTTTCTGTCTTTCTCCTTTTCTTTTCCATCCTCTCTTTCCCTCACTTGCCAAATCTCTGAGAAAATCTTTTTCTTGTAGCCTATGTAAACACGCAAACACAAATTTGTCCCCTTTAAGTAACTACTCCATAGCGTTTCTTTGTAATGTCTTTGCTATACCCCGAATGTTAACCTTAACAGTAAGTCTAACCGAACGTATGCAATTAAAAGGCTTTTTATATGCTCTCAAAACCCAGCCTGCCTTCTTGCCTGCCCCAATGCTGTGGTCTTGTCACACCAGTTTTCTCTCCCATCAGAGAGGGTGGAAGAGGGAAAAAAAAACACTTTACCATTACAGTTGTTTTACTAATATAATAAAATATATCTACAACTATTCAGCTGTATTATGGGGTCATTCAAATACCAAATACTTTAACAACTGTATAAACGATTTATCCACTGGTCCAGAAAAACAGCAAAACATTTTATATAGATTCTAGCTAACGTCTTGACTAAGAATGTTGTTTAGGTGTCAATTTCATGAATAAATAAAGTAATAATGTATAGCATAAATAACACATTGAATATGAAAAAACCCCTTTGTATTTCACTTTTTGACATGTAAATATGAAACGATAAAATTCTTAATGGTTAATGAAACAAGAGTGGGGACAAAACTAGAATACTGATGTTTAAAAGATAAAGTGCTTTGTTCCACAAAAATAATCTGACATCTACTCTAGATGAGAGGGACAGCTACACTTCTGTAAAATGCTGATTTTTCTTTAAACCAAAGTAAAAATAATCTGAAAGGAAAACTACCCAGAATGTACCATTCACCTGAAATATACTGAGGTTAATATAATGACATACAGTATTGTTAAAGAGCACCAATAACACAAGTATTACAAATGATCCAATCCCAAGTTTCTATCATGATATTGGGGGAAATAATTCTAAGTGTCATTTCCTTACAGCATCGGCATCCCTGTTGTCTTTGTGGCAGGTTAGTTACAGTGACATGAAGGTCTTTCATGTGTATGTGTTTTTAAAATCTAATTTAAGTTACTAGTAGTCCACATTCACAAAAAATATTGTAGTTATAATAACAAAAATCTTACTTAACTAGAGTAAAAAACATGTCGACCATCTTTAACCTCCCAACTCTTGTAGTCGGTGAGTTGAGTAGTGTCTCTGCAATGGCTGCTGTTGTGTATTATTATTTCCACATCTTGCAAGGAGATGAGCAGGCACAGTTTTACATATTATTGTGGGTCCTAATATCCAAAGAGCCTGATGCCATCAACGTAAACCCAACCTTAGTGGTCCCTGGGCCACATGAGAAGGCCTCCTCCTGGAACCTGGGACAGGCTACAGAAAGTTGTTGGTGATTTGCCTCTGATGCTCAAACAGGTCTTCGGTTTCTGCACTATATGCATCACCTGTAAAGGAACAACATCATTAAAAAGAGGTGAGAGCTGAAACTTACGGCAATGTGAAAACAGAAAGATTTTTAGTATCCTCACCTGCATGGCATCCATACATGTAAGCTCTGTGGCCATCATATTTGCACCGACATCTCATAACATTGTTCATAAAGTCAGACTCAGCCATGTCCAGTGAGGGGTTGACTTCCACCTGCAAAATAAAACGATAATATAGGACGTTATTTATTAGGAAACAGGGCGCACACTTTGGTCTAGTAAAGTATCCTCAGTAGACCATGTTCGTGGCTAAGGAAGGAACAAGTCTCTTCTCCCCACACATGGGAAAGCAGTTTAAATAAAGAGCAGTTGGATTTAAAATTGAGGGCCTGTTATTAAACTGCACTCGTAGCTGGTATTGTTTTTATAGTCAGTCTGTTTCTCATCTATAAAAAGTTGGATGACTTTTCCATACAGTATTACTATTGTAAGGATAAATACACTATGTGGTAATTTCACATGAACCTAAAGCTGGTAGTCTACAGCTGAATATATACACTGAATAACATGGGGCAGTAAAATGCTTTTGTTATGCAAAGCACAAAATATACTGTTTGACCTCAGGAATTCTATTGTTTCTTGCTTTTACATCTTGTACAAAAAGATTTAACAGTTTACACAAATTATGGCAACTGGCCATGTAAGAAGCTCTGGAAATTTACAGGTGCCCAAAGTGTCTGCAAGGGAAATCTTCTCTGCTCCTCATGCTGACATTGGAGTGCACAACAAGGGCCTGAAATTAGCCTGAAATTGAAGTCTTTTGCAAAAGAGTAGTTATGCATAAGAATGTTTATGTGTCTGAAATTAGTCTTATTCTGAATGTTGCCATACACTCTACTAATAGCCTAGTCTGTCATTTGCAGAGCAACTCTGTAACTGCTGATACAACCATTCTCCTAATCTGGTCTGGTGATAATACTGAGACGCCATTTACTGTAATGGTTGCTCTGCAAACTGCTGCACCCACTTTAAGTACAGGTTACAAACTGCTTAAAGCAAGCAAGAAGGCTAACTATACTAAAAAAAGGGAGAAACCATCTTAAAAACACAGTGAATGCAGAAAAACTCTCTTAATTTTTCAGTGTAAATTACAGTGTTGGACCAGAGTGTATGAGGCTTTTGCAGAAGATTGGTTCGGTGACAGAGTGCGTTGCTCAGTGAGAAAGTAGCTATAAAAATAAAAACAGGGCAGGAGAAATTCCTTGGTGGTAAATTAGCCGTTCCTAATGGAAGAAGGGAACTAGGTGCTGTTTGACTAAAGGGAGGCACTAGTTAATTTGGGTAAATTGTGTGTTTCATTAGCACTGGGTGGTTCAAGGGCAGGCCTGCTAAATCCTCCTGTACAGCCTGCGATCTGTAGTCAGGCATCATCTGCACTTTACTAGATAAATGAAAGAACACAGCACAGAGGAGCACTGCTATAAGAGATGTTTGTATTTTTCCAATTCTGCAGCCTCAGTGAAAAACTCCTTCACAGGTTTTACTTTCTCGTTTCTCTCAGTTAAAATTGGTTCATACCCTTTCATGATGACCTTTGCACTTTCATCGTTTCCTGTCTCTTCCTGTCATTTGATATAACTCAATTTCGGCCTGTTCTATCATGTATTGGCCTTGATTTGCCTCCATACTATGCTACAGCAGTGTGCCACTTAATTACGCCCACTCATCTTACTCAAAATACATACAGTTAACAAACGCCTTTATATATGAGTATGACACATCAATCATGCCAAAATTAAATGAACTCTTCCTAAACAGACAGCAGAACAGTGTTAATTACAAAGACCTAGTGCAACCTCTCAGACAAACTGAGTAACAGCAATAATTATCAAACAGTGAGCTATACTGTAACCAGTCTACCACATCGAGAAGGTAATTGGGAGCATGCTCAGATCTGAAGACTGGTAGATCAGAGGTCTGTACTGAAAAAGGAAGATAATGAGATATGGAGTCCTTGATGTGTTTTAGACTGGCAGCCACAATGACTTCAGTCGACAAAGAAATGAGAGACACATGAATGGTTAAGGTGATGACTGTTTAGAAGAAGGTCAGTAGGTTTTACTGAAATAGACAGAAACCACAACCAGCCATGAGGAAATCCACCTTTAAAGCCTGTGAACCTCTCTTAATAAAAGGATCTCTGATCTTGACGAACCAGTTGAACATTTTAAGAAATAAATGTGATTTTTTTCTAGAACTTAGAGGAGAACATTAATACTGCACTCATAAAATACTATTCAAAAGTCCTAAGCCAACCATTTTCTTTGCATTCTGTTAGGAAAATGGGAAATAGGTGCAGCAACGAATTAAAGTGTCCAAAATAAAGCATACAAAGTAAAAGCATAGGTTGTACAATGTTTGGTATGAGCACCTTTATTCTTCAACACAGCCTGAATTCTCTTAGGCAAGCTTTCTTATCATTTCTTTAAGTAGTCTCTGTTCTCCAGGCTTCTTGAAAGACATTCAAAGCTCATCTTTGCAGGGTAGCTGCCTTTTGTTCCATTAACTGTACAGATGATCTCACACTATTTAGATAATTTTGAGGTCTGAGATCTGTTCCATCATGTGTTTTTCTATCCAGGTATACTTTTACTGCATTGGCAGTGTGTTTGAGATCATTGCCATGCTGAAAAATTAAGCTGTTTCCAATCAGATGCTTTCCAGATAGTACTGCAAGGTGGATCAAGTTTTCAGCTAATACGTTTTTAGGAATCACCTTGTTTGCGCAAAAATATTATTTTATGCCTGTGACATCTTGTTATCATTGGCATTTTACATAGATTCAACAAATGACATTGGAACATATATGTGCTTTTGAAACAGCCTGCTAGAGACAAAGTGCCTAAAGATATAATCATCTGAAAGTGAGTGGAAAAAGCACTCAAAGTCCAAAGAAAAAGACTTTCAGAAAGGCTAGAGAACTATTGCTCAAGACCACTTTGCAAAATAAGTTTACAAAATGAAGGTTGATTAAGATTTGTGCACAGTACTCTAAATGTATGCCATACATAATGCAGCCAACAATCACTTAGCTTAGCTTTGAAAACAGAAGCTCATTAAAGGGCATATTATACAGTATCATGTTTGTTTAATCAGAACAAAAGTATATGTGTAAAAATATCATTGTTATATGCAGATCTTTCAGCAGATTAATTCTCCACCAGTCACAAGAAGGTTGTTGAGATAACTTCGAAGTCTGCAGTTTGTGCTGACAGTAGTTGCATTTTAACCAAACAGACCTACTTTTCTAACAGAATAAGCCTATTTCCCTTTACTTTAAAGTGTTTTCTGAAAAGCAAAGTTACTTATATTTCATTTTTCTGGCAATAAAATTTTCCCACATTGGAAAAAGAAAAGGTGACAAATATAAACTTCTGACCTGGAATATGTAGTCTCCTGGCCGTACATCAGTCACGTCAACCCACTGACAGTCGATATCATGCCGATATGTATCCCAGCAGCCCACAGAGATGCCTTGATCACCCATGTTATAACAGGAAAAGCGTTTCTGGAGGCCTAAAATACATATCAGCAACATTATCAATCACAACATCAAAGCTCATTTAATGCTTGGCACTCCCTGTTATTTTTAAGAGCCTTTAGCTTTCTGAATTGTACTGGACTGCATACTGTATGAACAATGGGCTTTTTCATATGAGCTATTTCATCCATGATATAACAAGTAAATGGAGAGTGAACAAACAACAACAGTGGCGATCTAATACATTAACCACAAAGTAAAAATCTGAATAGCTGTAGCTGAAATATTGATATTAATTTTCTGTCACTAATGGGAAACATTATGGGTTTTTTTGGAAGGAGGGCTGAATTGTGCTGAAAATTACCATCAGGGCAATATGTGTCCTCCAGACAGAAACTGGCCTTGTGTCCCTCTGCAACCCTCGTGCCATTCAGAGTCAGCAGGTCGTAATGCGTGAACACCTCAATGCTGTGGTAGTGCCTGTGACGACAGATGGGAAAGTCCAGGTGAGAGCGTGTATGTGTGTGTCTGCATGTCTGAGTGTGTGCATTTACACTTACTGAACACTAGCTCCCTATGGCTTATATCCTTATGACCTCACTGCTTGAACATGAGAGAGGGTGTCACCGTAACACTTCTCACAGAAGCTTATTTTAGTTCTGGCTTGGTTGAAATGTTTATTCATTCTAAATGAATGGCAGGCTTTGAAACGCACATCCATAGCTCTGATATGTTGTAATAAACTGAGGCGGACTTGACTGCACGTAGGCTGCACGGTCCTTTGTATTACACCTAACCTGTGGTAGCCAGACGATTGCAACCATCATTTCCACAAACACGCGCTGTAGAAGGGTTCGTGATTTGGGACATCTCATGCAGTCAGCACAGTATGCCACCCTCTTCGCTTATCCTGACAGGTTTGAAAGTGCTCTGTTCCTACTGAAAAGAAACTGAGACCTAGTGATGGACAAAGGCGCTTATGTCTATTGGCCATATTGCACGCTTCCTGCCGTGTCCACGGGAATGAGATCACACATCAGTATGTTTTTTTTCCCTGGTTGCAATTGAATGCAATTAAAATAAATATACCTTTAATTACTCAGTGTGTAAGGAGCATTACTCCACATCCATATGTGGAATAAAGAACATGCTTTTGCGTGAATATTTCTGACGGCTCGTGAAAACCCAAAACACTCAGAGTGACCATAAGGGCAACCACAACATCCTACATCAGTATTTAAAAGTTTTTTTCCACTCCGTCAACCCACACTCCTAAACAGTAAAGCAATTTTACACTTCTCTTTACCTCTTTTCAGGGATAATATACCTGTGACACTGGTGCCATGTCCAGCTCTCTTTCGATGCTTTGGGTCTGAAATCAGAACGACCCAAATTCATGATGCGGGAGGAGAACCTCAGCAGGCGTCGGTGGCCATAAGGCCAGTTCATCCTGGCAGCAGATGATGACAGACAGTTCTCTTCATTGGCACAGGTCAGAAGATGGAGAGGACGGTCTTCCAGGTAGGCTGTCTCCTGGACCAGCTGGGCATCCACAACAAGGTCAGGTGCCGCTGAAGCAGGTGTAACAGATTATCTTAAGATTCAAACTGAACGAGAAGGGAAGACTACAGGTAAAAACTGCAACTTACTGTCAGAACAGCTGACCCCAGCAGCCTTTGCTCCACCTCCACGAGGACAATGGATATGGTTGTTACGACGACACTGTTGAATTGAAAGCTCTGTTCCCACGCAGTGAGTTCCGCTGAGAATCACATCGTTGACACTGGGGTCGCCAGGCCAGTACCAGGTTTCCTGTCAAAGGAAGGGTGTAGAGTTTTCTATCAATAAATAGTATCATAGTCATCATTTCCCAGTCATTGTTGAAGTTAATGAAGGGGCTGTGACTATGGATTGGTCTCTACGTGTTCATTTATTTCTCATCAATACCTTAAGACACTGCAGATTAGATTTTGATAAATCTTAGAGGAAAGATGGCTCTGACCACTTTACTCTGACATTTTCAAAATTAAACTAATTGGGTTAGAAGTGGGAGTGCTTCGTTGTCCTTTTAGAACATTTCAGATACTGATGACAATACTTTGGAAAAAGTTGGTTGCACTATAAAAAGAGATCAAAATAACTCGTTATGTTTGTCAAGGGGATAGTTACCTGATGAGCACTGGCAGCAAAGCCCAGGCCCAGCTGTCTGCATACCACCATGGCCTCGGTTATGCCCCAGTTCTCACTACAGACAGAGCCCCAGCGTTTACGACCCCCAACCTCCATCAACACCTCTACACGGCCTTCTGATGGGACTCTACCACCAGCGAGCCGCACCTTGAAATCCATTGAATTAAAAGAATTAAGTGGATGATGTGTTATAAGTGAAAGCTCATAAGCTCATGAACTGTGATGGTGTAGATTTCATACCGTCTTCTCTGTGCCTGTTTTAGGAACGTTGCAGCGTACTGAGGCATCCTGGCTGTGTTTGAATGTCCATGGTTGGACTTCCTGGAAGTAGCAGTCTAGAATAGAGTGTTCCAGCCCAGTACACTGAACATTGTTCATATGGATGGGCCCTGTACCTGCATAGAAAGGAGGAGATTTATTAGATTAAAAAAAATGATGCATCAAAAAAGTGGGAACAAATGAAAACCCAAAGAGCATGGGCATAACTGAAGGGCAATATCCCTTGTGACTGTCTGAGGCCACCCACCACAGATGCAATGGCATTACGAGACTCTGTCATGCAAAAGAGCGCAAACACATAAAACCGAGGCTCACTATTCCTTTCATATGAAAAGCTTCCTCTATGTTAGCATCAAACCAACAATGAAAAGTTCCTATCAGTCATGACAAAATGCTTCTGCAAGCCAAGCAGCAGCACAACCAACATCTACTTTGGGCATCTGTCACACCTCATTACCACCATTCTTTTGATTTACGAACAACAACGACTACTACATTGTGTGTAGTCCACCACCTTGGGTGAGCAAAAAAGCAAAAGCTATGTCAGCATTATAAAGGATTCAGACAAGGATTTGTTTGCTATTTAAACCCAGATAATCTTTAAACAACATAGGAAAATGCAAAAGTTCTTAGGGAAATAGCTGGTGTGATAACGATGACAGGATATCAACAAACTATGGCTTCCGTGTTTTCCTAAAACACAAAGCACAAACTGTAAACTGAGAAATAAAGTAGCATTGAAATAAACACAACCAAACCACAAAAACTATGGGAAAAACAAAACCAAGAAAAAGGGCGTAAAAGAAGATAGTTGGGACCAGATTGCAGCCCAACCAAATACGTCTCTGTGTTGGTTTTGGTAGATTGTAGGCCTTCTTCCATACTGGTCACCATGCGTGGGTTCATATGGATGAAAAGGACATATCTAAACCGCTTCTACCTCTATCTGCATGGTAATTGCCGCAAACTAGAGCCAAAATCCCACTGTTTAACATATGAAGACAAACACAGGGGGACAATTTGAAGCAAAACGAACAGTGACAAGATCTATTTAAGCCTTAGTTTGGGAAATCCACAAAAGCTTAAAATAAATTCCAGGAAAGCCACATGCACTCTGCATCCACACAAATACACACAACCACTGAGAGTGTTACTAAACTCTTTGTGTTCCCACTGTGTAGACTATAGTATAGCACCAAGTGTAAGAGGGGAAACAAAACTGGTTAAGGATCATCAATTATAATCAGACTAAAGATCTCTAATCATCTAAATTTAAGATAAAGCACAACTTTATCTAAACAACAACAGGCACCATCATCACCATCATCATTAGAGCCAACAAGTAACAAAAATACTGCATCCTCAAAAGACACATTTGCGTGCCAGCACACACACATACACAAACTTAAACACACACAACTGTAAATTCGTTATTGATTGTATGTATTAATTATTAACAACACAATCACATGACTGATCAAGCTCTAACAACAAATTACTACTTTTCTACACCAGAATCAGCTGAGCTGTCACAGTTTTTACAGCAGCAGTGCTTAGGTTAAATGAGACCAAGTCCTAATCTCCCCTATTGCATCAAAATGGCTGGATATGTACGTACTTCACGGGTAAAATTACACAGCAAAAATAACAATGTTGGTTAAGAAAGGAAATAGAAACATTGTCCCTGTAATTTAACTCACTGATGATGATGATGATAAATGTAATGATGATGGGAGTTAAAGAGTTTGCGGGTGGAGTCTGAAGAGAACCTTTCTTCTCTTATATTCTGCCGAATAATTAAAACATGAACACAAGCATAAAATATCTAGGTTGTAGAGTGGATACATCTATGAGAGCAATAATGAGACATAATATAAATGTGGTATCTTAAATTTAGTCTATACAAGAAAGAGCAAAGTTGATATGTAATTATGACTGGGATATGCCAAAGATCATTTGAAGAGATTAGAAAATTGACTTTTGAGGATGGAAAGAGCATAATATCAGTTACATTCTTGTTGAGAATAGCGCAAATAGTTGGTTAGTGGTTACAAGGGAAACCCTGTTCTTGTCCTCTCTGAAATTAAACTCAATTTTAGGAACAGTTAAATGTGTGTAATGTTTTTCTTTCCATGGAATGTCTCTCTCTCTCTCTCTCTCCCTGCCAAAAGACTTTTTTCCCCTGTAAAATGCAACAGTCATTTAAATTTCTGCACAGATTTGCTTGCTTATTTGAAATTAAATGGCACAAGCAAACTTGCACCGAGATCGGCATGTATTATTTTTCATATTTATGTTGGCATCTGGATTTCAAGGTTAGTTAGAAGATGGCATCTCACTAATCCAGCTGGGATATTCTATGTCTGTATACTATAAAGGCCATTTAATACGTGCAAGCAAGCGTTTCAACAAATCTGATAAGGGAGGCCACATTCAGAGGCAGAACATCTGACTGGTGCACTTCACTCTGTAATCAACCAGTCAACTCGACCACAGCCTTTATCACATTATTTATGATGATCAAATGTGATAAAGTCATGCTCTTCTGTGGGGTCCTGTTGGCAAAAAGATACGACAGAAATGATGAGGAATCTTTTTTTTTGTGTGCGTTAAAGATGTATAGGTATAGGCAAGTTGGCAAAAGTAAACACTTTTTACACAAATTTACATTGATGTGTTGCTCCTGTGAGAGTTTATTCCATCTATGAGTCTAACTAGGCCTTTTCAAATGACATTTAGCCCAGTATGCATATGTCCTCTGAGCACCAGGGAAATCAGGTAATAAAAATGACAAGCTGAATCTGAGAGAGCTTTGAATATTGAGTACTTTAGGACTGGCGGCATGACGCTTTACAAATTCACTCTTAGCAGATCATATCACTGCTATTGTTCTAAAACCGCCAAGTGAGCTAAACAAGGCGCAGCCAGCTGGTCTGATGCATATAAAAGAAGTATGGTTTGTCTGTAGCAGCCTGGTACATATTGGATATACTTTATTTGAGGTTAATATAGTGGACAGCGGAGTGTAATTGTACTATACTATCGTGTATCACTTCTGCTATTTTCAAATGACTGCAGAGTTTCAAGAAATCAGTGACATTATATTATCAGTGCTCCAACGTTATCCACATAAAGCAGTATTCTTTGATTGTAACTAACTTAAGTGACATGGTTAACTGACATTTTGTATTTGCATTTTTTAAAAGATTTTAAAAGTCTAGAGGCAAAGCAGTTATAATACTTTGCTGATGAAATGCCAGTGCAATGCATTGTGCGGCCTCTAGAATAAAATTTCCACCTATTTCTGTCTCTAAAAGAGCAAATCTGAAGGTCAAGATAATATCCCATCGTAAAGCTTTCTGCTCTGGTCAATGCATAGCCACAAAAAAACAGGGTTGCAAGTGTATGAGTGAATCACCAATTATAGAAACCAACTCACAGAAGTAAAATATAACAAATGTAAGAAGAATACATCTACCAATTCTGAGGCATTTTTATTTTTTAAACCTAATTAAAGATTTTCAGCTACTGTGTTTTTCTGTCAGTTATGATTGCAATAGTTTCTCTACCTGTGTGTTTGTGTATGCGTGCAATGAATAGGAGAACCAGGTGAAGTGAATCCCAGTAAAAAACATTGTAACATTGTGGTTAAATAAACGAAACTCCACCGAGATAGAAAACTGACAAATTATACACCTCGGTCTATTCTAAACATATGACTTTGAAGCCTGGCCAAATAACTGATTAAAACCAGAAAACAATGTGTACGCAAACTAATGCAACTGAATCTGAGGAAAGCCAAAAAAAAGCTGATTTTAGTTCTTTAAGGTAACACAAATGCCAGTTCAAGAGGTAATCGGGTAAAAACGACACATAAAACACATAAAAATATGCTTTTTGTGATCAACTGAACAGCTAGACCAGTAGAACATCATCCCACATTTAATCTCCATCAGCAAGATTAGAGACTACTCCCTACCATGTGGCATGGGGAAGCTGTTCTCACATCTCGTAAGGGTGGGGTCACCACTGGTGCAGCTGGGTACTGAGTGCGTCTGTGTGTGTCATCAAAGCTGGACATTTGAAATTAAAGCAAAAAGACCACAGCTCTCAGTAAGTGAATGAAAAGCTTGCTTGAATCTAGCAAGATTATGTCTCTGGCTTTAGTATCAAATACTAATATAAACTACTATGGCTTATAGTATTTCATTTTGTGAGTGAGTGTTTGTCTACACACACATGCATATGCTGTTTGGGCAGCTGGAAGTCCTGGCACAAGACTCACATAATCACAGCTGGAGATACTGCAATCAACACATTTGCAGCTTCACAAGGCAACATACACAGACAGACAAACACACATGCCCACACATTATCTGATCAGTCAGAGCAGACGGGTGCGGCGTCTATGGTAAACAAAAGATAAGCAAAAGGCTGAAAAGTCTCCCTGTCTTCTCTGGAATACCATGACGCATGAGAAACACATTCAAGCATCCAAATTATACAGGCAGAATGAATTCATTAAATGTGGAGTTTTCCAGAATGTTTAATGAAAGTCTGTGCTTTGGGCAACAGCAATTTCTAGTCTTACCTTGACCCATAAAGGCTCCATGCAGCGCATCTTTGGCAGTACCAAAGCCCAGTTCCCTGCACACAACACTGGCTGCTGTTCTGTCCCACAAGTGATCTACAATAGTCCCCCATTTTCCATCACGGAGCACCTCCACACGCCCCTCTCCCAGTCTGGGGCCCACCTTGAGACGAACAGGCTGTATACGGCAACAAAGGGAGAATAAAAATCAGTTTACTAAGAAAACTACATGATTGTGCCAATGTAGATACAAATTCTTAACCTTACCACAACTGGATAGGGCGCTTGAGGTCTTCCTGAAGAGATGCGAGCAAACTGAGGTCCTGGTACACACTTGACCACTGCATGTCTCCCATTTTTACAAGGGGTAGGACTACGGGGGATTGACAGCTGAGCATGGCACTCTGAGAGACTGTTCTCAGTGCCTATACAATGAACTTTCTCTACCCAAAATCCTTTCTTTTTTGCCATGAGACTCAGTCTGCAAAGAACAGAAAGTAAATTGTAGGTAACATATTCTTAAAGATACTAACAATTTGGTTTTAATTTGTTAGTGTTTCTTAATGATATTAAGTAGTAGTAATTCCTGTATAGTTAATACAGGAATGTTGTTATAAAATTGCACATTTGTAGATAAGAAACAAAGGCTGAAAAGGGTCATTTTTATTACCTTGTTGAAGGATCTTCAACCTTGGTATCCCATATTTTCCTGTAAAAGAACAGAACAGAAACAGACATGATCAGGACTGTCTGTTTTCTGAGGTTGCAAACACAAACACTCACACACACCTGGACCAATTTGAATATCATCTGCTGGTTTTTGTTTCTATCTAATCCAATCACTTAAAAGTGTTTTCAGCACAGAGAGCAGTAGCAAACACTTAAAACACCAACTTCATTTTTACTAGAAAAGTAGCCTTACTGGGTTACTTGAAATGAACCGTGCAGCTGCAAATATAACTTCTGCACATAAATCAGGAACAAATTTAGCTGTGGCTTTGTGGTGAGTGTAAAGTTAGATATATTGATAGTAATGACTAGTACAGTTTAGTACAATCCGTGTCCTTTTTCAGGAACCTCACTTTTCATCTCTCTGTATATATTCAGTATGATGTATTTCTTTCCTGAATGTGGGCTGTTTGCTATTTACCAAGTGTACTCTGTTTATGTTTAGAGCCTGTGTAATAGTATGTTCTGTACCCACCAACATAAATATGTGTTCAACAAAAATGTTCAGGGTAATTTTTATCTAAATTACACACTTTTACATTAAATAAACTAACCCAGACTTTCTGACTTTCGGAACAAGCAATGCTGCTTAGCTGAGATTTACGCAAAGACACCAAGATGTGAGCTATAAAGAGATTAAAGAAACAACAAAAAAACAAATGAAAAATGAGATATTCTGATCTATGCTGTTAATCTCCAAAACCACACTAGGGGGAGGGAAAGCATGCCATACAGCGTCTGTGAAGAAGAACATTTCTTAAAAAACAGGCTTTAACCAGGCACGATATACAAATAAAACCTCTGGCACTCCCCGACGCTGAATGTCCAAGAACTGTAAGATCGAAACAGAGATTTATGTTCCAACTAGGCTGGCTGAATTGGGAGAGCGGTGGAGAGGAAAGCCGTCTGTTCTCTTGGCAGACACACAATGCACACATGCCAAACAGATCATACCAGGACATCCTCCAACCACTGCAAACTGCATACACCATTACCAACATTCACATCAATTACACCAAAACACTCAAGAATATACATGGCACAATCACAGTGACATTTTTATTTTATAAGTCTGGACAAGTGGCTTAAGTTATTATTAAAGTAAGATTAATGTTCTTCAGTCAGGAAGAAAGACCTATTTGTTGGGCTCCAGCATGTACTGGCTTTCATCAAACCACCCTGTACAGTGGCAATACACACACACAGTATCAATATCAATATATATGAAAAACAATCCAGTTCTGATTTGAGTGGTGTTCCCATTTAAAGAAACAAACACATCGAAGATCTAGGGATATTTGTATGAAAGTTAAGGCAGGTCAATATTTTTATTTCGGACATGAAACTCAGGACATTCCTGGAAAGTTGTAAGAGACAAACCATTAAAAAAGCAAACAAACTGAGGAATGAAGAAAGTCGTTGTCAGTGACATGATGTTATGCTGATGGTTGAGTAAAGTCATGGGCTGCTGATTTTACACTTTCCAGAATCACATAATAACTTGTTTCCTAAAGCTATAAGTAGTAAGTAGGCAATGAGACCTAAAAATATAAACAATCCTTCAAAAAGTATTTCAGTATTAATAACATGTTTTTATTTCAGGAATCATTCAACATACGTTTTGAAATTCACAGATATATCTCAAATCTTAAACCAGTCCTTTTCTATGGCCCATTTGAAGCATAAATGCAAAAACGAACATCTGTAAAAGATCAGTTGCATAAATAGCCCTGCCCTGATACATAACTACATGAAAAATATATCGAACAAAACCCCATGAAGCCATTGTTTTAACTAATGTGCATAGCTTAAAATAAAGCCCTATACGGTATATTGTCATGCATCTTACTGTAACTTGGACTATATTGCATTAAAATTTAACACTTAAACTTTACAGTCTCTTGAATTACACTTGTAAAACATTTAAATGTGTCTACCATGTGGCTTTATAGTACCATAAGATAGACAGCGAGGAACAGCTACACACTCATTTTCACATGAGGCAAACATGTCTGTGACTTGTTTGTGACCTCACCACAGACAAATCAGCTAACCATTTACCCTCTTCAGAAGCCAACAGGACTACTACTTAGACTATAAATGATACCTTTGGGTATTTTATTTAACGGAATTACAGCACTGTTTGCCATGCTAAAATCAAGCACAATGAAAGCCATAAATACATTAAATATATAAAAAGAAATAATGCAATGTAACTAAAATATGAGGGGATAGGAGCTGTATGAAAGTATATCTGAGCTATCTGAATAGACAACCCCAGTATTCACTTGTTTTTCACCTCAACAGCATTCATCAGCCAAATAGTGTGTCCAGCACATGTTGTGGAAAAGAAATGAAGATAATGATAGGGAGTCTACACCTGCTTGTTAAAAAAGACATGCATTACATCACTGTTTGGGTTTTATCAGCTTTACACTGCTCAGCAGTGATATTAGGTCATTTCTACATCTTCTGATGCTACGTTACAACAGAATTATATATAAATGACATTTTGTTTTACCTCAGATAAATTTTAAAAACCAGTATTGGCAAAATAAATAAATAAATAATAATAATCAGACTTGCTTACATCCATTTTTTCAGCAAAGATCTACCTTAAAGTAGACACCAAAGAAAAGGGAAAAAAAGATTTCAAGTAGAATTACACAGAATAGAAATGGATGCAATTATTATAATTAAAAATAAATAATATAAAGAGAATTATATAAACCAATATGAGAAATTAAAGAACATTTTTAACCTACTTTGAGTGGCTATGGTAGAAAATCTTGCTTGTGAAACAGTTGCTAGGCCCAAGTGAAGTGATACAAATGCCTATGATTCAAGTCCTTTTTAAAAACCACCTTTCACAGTCTGTTCCAAGCCACAAAATAGCCACTGGCATGCACACAGAAATAAAAAGATGGGAAAATAAATTAGAGGGAAGAACACTGAAGAAGATCATACAGACATCAGACAGGAAAACCAAATTTGGTCAAAGAAAATGTCACCCAAAAGCCTGAAAATGATACGTTCGTCATAAGAAAATTTTAACTGAAACATAATTAAACATAAAGTCCCCAGTTAAGTCCCCAAATCACTACGGTGACAGAGGAAGACAGACAGCTGCTGACACAGCAGGCAGCGCTGCAAACTGCAGCTGTAATTGGCTATATTTCACACGAGCAAGCGAAAATCTGGCTCGTCTGACTGCTGCTCTCTGTCTTTCTCTCCATCCGCTCTTCTCTTGTTACTCTCTGCCTCCATCCTCGCCATCTTCGTCTCACTCTCTCTCACACACGGCTATAATTGGGGGTGTTTTTTCACCCTCAGCAGAATCCCTGAGAGCTTTGGTCCTGACCAACTTGTAATTATAGCATCTTCAGAATTTCATCCAAGTGACACAGGAAGAGTCATGGCAGGGTCTGGAATTTCTAAGAATGGACAGAAAAACTTGGAAAGAAAGCTTGGCTTTGTTCAAACCGTGCAGTACAAGCCTATGCTTTTTTGAAAAGTGAAAGAAGTTACATGAACGCTTAACAACCAAATTACCAAATTGTTTTTCTATGACTCTTTTGGCTATCATGATTGTAATTAGAGTACAAAGTGGCAATTTAAGTCAAGTCAAAAGTGCAACCTTACATTTATCCCTAATCCCAGTCTGAAACAGAATGAACATTTTTGCTGTATTCTTCTGGTTGTTATTTTGTAACCTCACATTTAACACATTCAGATTTTAGAAACCAAGTCTGTTAAACAACTTGCTTATGTGACTTCGAACAAAGGCATTCCAGCAAATGTATCTGAAACAGCCTGAAGTCAAAAACACATGTTAAAGAGGGAACAAACATGCTTCTGTGGAGACAGAAAACAGGTACAGATTTGGAAACAAACACATCATCATGGTTCAGACTAATATAGTGCCTGAGGCTTTAGCAAAACCCCTGGTCATACCCAAGAAAGACAAACCCAGATGTATCACAGCCACTTCCATGACAGAGCCTTATAATTTATACATGCAATAAAAGAATTCAAGATATTGGCTTACAGTACTTTTTGCTGAACATTAAGATAAACAGTATTGTGCACTTTGTTGTGGCTTTGGTCAGATGCTAAAACAGCAGGACAAGTCCTGTTATTTAAGTTCCTTTTACTTGACCTTAGAGGATTGAAAAACAACATTAAAAAAAGACAGTGAGCATATCCCCCTGAAGATGTCAATAAAAGCCCTTCAAGCTATAACAGCCCTGTCCTCCACTGGCATATCAATCTTCCTGGTAAGCAGCCAAATCACCTCTATTCGAACCATACAAATCTATCCATCTAATTCCCCTAAACAAGAACCTGCACTACACATTTTCAGTGTTTTGTACCTGTACTGTGAATCTATACTGCATAAGAAAATCAAGTAGATGAATGAAAAGCACCACACCTGCAATGCGGTGAAGCTGTGCTCTAATAAATGATCCTGTACAGACCGTGTAGAGTCGGGCTCGGCTGTTAAACAACAGCTTATTCGGAGGGACTTTTATTACTGAAGATATGATGCCATACGATCGCCTCCTCCAACAGTAGAATCAGGTTATAGCTTCACTGTGTTCCCAATAACACACAAGTTCAACAGAGATGGCATAATTCAAGGGCAATGCAGAAATACTTTCAGAGTGGCTGCACTCCAATAGTTTGTCAAGTCAATAAAAACTCAGAAAAGTCTATAAAACAAATCAACTTCCCTTTAACAGTTACAGCATTTCAGAAGCATGAGGATTGTAGTACCTACAGCAGATTTTGTCACCAGTTGAGTCAGAGTAACCTGAGCCAGTAGAGGGACGGAACAGCTAAACTGGGAATCATCTATAGATGGCAGGTTTCCACAAGCAAGATCCACCTGGATCCATCTTCCACAATAATCCTCTGCTAATGTGTGGTCCTCCCGTGGTTTACAATACAAAGAGTCCCAAAAACCACTGCTGAGGGTTTGGTTTTTTTTTTTTCAACGAAGAGGATGCGGGCCAAAGGGGCAAAAAGATACATGCTCATTGGGACAATTGCAGTAAGCACATGCTTATACTGAACCTTAACCATATTTTAAGTATGGTTTTTAAGTTAAATTCCTTCATGCTAAAAGTCAATGAGATGAGGTCAACATCATTCATTATTCATGCCTGTGCAGCAGGGTACTTTGTTACCTGGCTTAAAAACTGTGTCTGCCAAACTAACATAAAACTGCAACAACTATCTTCATTTGTCTGTGTTTTTTTTTTCTTTCATTGACTGAACAATCAAACTGAGTAAAATGAAAAGCTTAAGCACTGTCATGACATAAAAAGTAGCAAAGAACACATTGAGAAGTTGTTCTTTTCTGTTTCTCAGTAATAAAGAAACACAATCCCCAGCCCATCATCCATTTTCTCAACAACAACTCCATTTAAGGGTTGCTGGGGCCCTGGAGCCTTTCCCAGCTGCCATAGAGCGAAGTACACACAGGAGAGATTTCCAGTGTATCGCAGAGCTAACAAACACACAGGGCAGACAACCATTCACATTCACACCTATGGCTTTTGGACTGCCAGAGTAACCGCAGTCTATGCAGGCACAACATGCAAACTCCAGACAGGGAGGCCCCAGCTGGCCAGTGGATTCATTCCTATCCCTACTTGCTGTGAGACAACAGCACTGTGTTTTTTACTTATCCTTTTAAAAGTTATTTTCAGAGCTCTGTGATATTTTCCTAGTTTTAGTGTGAGCTGTATTTATAAAGTGTTCTTGTACCATTACTTGAATGAAATTAAACACAAATGAATGCAGAGGTTTCCATGCTTCTAAAGTAATGCACTAAAAGAGGCATTGTTTTTTGTAGATGTACCAAACTTTCAGTGCTGGGAAACATAGGAAAAAAGTAATTGGCACACTGCCAGCAAGTCACACATGCTTTTTCTGTGGTGGCATGTAAAAGTAAAGAAAAGCATGGCTTACTTAAGCCCACAGAGATTCTCCTGCCAGAAAGTCACTCTACACATACCATCATCCTGCTCTCCAAAAGCGACTTCTGTCTCACACATTGTATCGATGGGACAGTTAAGAGCACAATCAGCAGTGATATTGCACCTCTGCATTGGAATCTAAAAGTTAAAGTAGAGCTGTTTGTCTGTGAGCTGCAGGCTGAAGATGGTATCAGAAGGAGAAAGGGAGTGAGAGGCAATGAGGTGTGCAGAGGTGATTTGCCTAGAGAGAGGGGTAGAGAAAGGGCAGTAGAGAGGAGTAAGGGATCCCCTTTATCATCATCCTGAGGCTGAGGAAAGAAGGGGGGGTTGAGGGACATGGGAAAGCGGTGGCTGGGGGAGGAAGATAAGCCCAAAGCAAGACCTCTAACTGCAGTGCTGCTGCTGCTGCTTTGTTGTTTTTTATCCATTCTTCACAATGTGTTTGTAGTCATTTAACAGTCAGATGAATGGCATAGCATGTTGCCCTTCTGAACTACAGTCAACAGCCCAGTGTTTTGCAATCTAATGACCTGGCCTCATAAAAGTGGATTGTATTGCTGTCAGTGCAGCTAGTGAGAAAGATTCATACTTACTTATATGTTCTCACATTGTGCTGAGTAGCCTCTGGAAAGCCAAGCATCCCACACACAACCCGGCTGCTATTGAGACTCCAGCCCTTGTCGCAAACTTGTCTCCATCTCCCAGCATGCTTCACTTCCACCACACCCTCTGTCATAAGGCTCTTCTTCTTTGTAGACATGAGGATGGGGCGAAGACGGACCTCCTCAATTCGCACCTTACTTTGCCTCTTAGGGAATACAAATGTCACTACTGTTACATATTTTTCTACAAATAATCCAGTAATTAGCCAAACATTAACTGTTGTACCTGATAGTGGTGGTGATGATGATGGGGCCTTTGGAACCTGGGAACCTCATATGGATGTCCATTTCCATAATATCCATACCCTGGTTGCCCGCGGGTGTCCACAAGCCCCTGCCATTGAGGTGCAGTATTACCATTAGGCCTTGGAGCAGTGGTGTGGGCTCTGCTGGCTGGCTGACTCACCGCCCTACGCTCAGGGGTGCACACAACCCCCAAATCTTCAGAGTGTTTGCAGTCATTCACTCCCCAACCGTTGTGTTTGCAGTCCTTCAAGGACTTCTCTGAGCCGTCACAGCGTACATTATCCATCCATATTGGGCCTTGAAAAAGAATAAATGATGCAAAACTTGATTCACTCTGATTTTCATTGATCAAGTAACAGACTGGCCGATGCATCTAAACATCAGCCAGAATCACTTCTTAAATACCTAACCCTTGATTTTTTAGTGCTACACTGATTTAGGGTTGCACCTTAGTGGCATGTTTAGCAGTAGATACATAGTATTTTACAAGGAAGACTGCTGTAGATCCTGCTCCCCGAATCCACTCAACTCTTTAATTTGGATTTAAAAGCAGCAGTAAAGAATGTCCATAAACCATGGCAAGTGTTGCACAACTCTGGCAAGCAAATGCTGTCATTATTCTAAAACAAATGCCCTTTTTCAGCCCATATATTTGCTCTGCCGGCCTGCCAGGCAACCTTAACGAGATGTAGATTCCAATCCCACAACGAGTTATCTTTGTCACTTTATGATGTTAGTTATTTTGAATGTCTTAATTGGCTGCCTTTTCATGAAGCCATACAGTTGTGAGCCAAGCACACTGTACTGTGGAAGTTTTGGAGTAGACAGGTTAGTGGCTGCCTGCCACTCCAATAAATCTTAAGCTATACCCACCAGTTACTTTGTACACCTTTGCTCTCTATTCTATTCTTCCTTGCTAGCACCAGGTTGGACTGACTTTTTCCCTAAAAACAGTCTTAATTCTTAGTGGCATAGTTTCTACAAAGTGCTGGAAATATTCTCCAAAGATTTTGGTCCATATTGACATGATAGCATCATACAGCTGCTGCAGATTTGTCGGCTGTGCATCCTTTATGAGAATCTCTTGTTCAACCACATACCAGTGGTACTCTGTTGGATTGGGATCTGGTGAGGTGTGGAGGGCATTTGAGTACACTGAACTTACTGTCCCATTCAAGAAAGAGCTTTGAAATGTATATGTCATGCTGAGTACAGGCATCAAGCGATAGACACACTGTGGTTATAAAGGGAAAGACTTTAGCCTTTTCAGTAATATTCAATTGGTACAAAGTATTCCAGGAAAATATGCCCATTGCACCACCATCAGCATAAATTGTTGATACAAGACAGGGGTGGAGCCTTACTTTAATGTTCTCTATTTCAGTTTTACAACCACCAATATGTGAACTTCGCAGCAGAAATGGAGACTTGTCAAACTAGTACACACGTCTTCAATCTTAGTTTTCCAATTTTGGTGAGCGTGTGCAAAATGTAGCCTCAGTCTCCTTTTCTTAGCTGACCGAAGAGGCACCTGGTGTGGCCTTCTGCTACATTAGCCCATCTGCTTCATGATTTGGCATGTTGAGCATTGAGAGATGCTCTTCTGCATACCTCAGTTGTACAGCTATAAATAATCTGGTTATTGTCTTCTAACCTCTGGTGTCAGCAAGACATTTTTATCCAGAGAACTATTGTTCATTGAACATTTTACATTTTTTGGACCATTATCTGTAAAATCCAAAGATGGTAATGTGGATAAATTCCAGTAGATTAGCAGTGAAATACTCAGACCAGTTATCATGCCACGTTCAAAACTACTTAAATCACATTTCTTCCCCAATCTTCCTGACTATGTCTACATGTCTAAAAGCACCATGTTCCTGCCATCTGGTTGGTTCATTTTGTATTTGCCCTAATAAAAAGTTTAAAATAATATTACATTGTTGAAACAATTAATGAAGTATGACAGTAAGTTAGGTGGCATAGACGCTAAATTGTCTGTGTAATACTAACTGTCAAAATTTAAAACCCAGTCAGAGCCCCCCCAACATATAATTTGGATTTTCCTGACAAGACTAAACTGAGAGTAAAAAAAAAAATTCTGACTCCCAAAGAAGACTGCACGGTAACTTCATACAGGGAGTGCTCTCACCTGTTCCTTCTCCATACTGTGCGCTGTGAGCCCACGTTAAGCCACCTTCGAACCCCAGCTCACGGCACACGACGTTGGCGAGCTTGATGTCCACCTCATCGTCGCAGACGGTCCCCCAAGTGCTGTTGTGCAACACCTCCACGCGCCCTTCGTGCGCTTGTCGCGCGAAGGTGCCTGCCAAACGGACCTTGAGAGCTGGTGCGCGAGACACTCTGCGCTGAGACGCTGTAGTCCTCCGAGGTTCGGCGCGAGCGGGACAGGAAAGGGACAGGAGCACAAGGAGGAAGAGGCTGAACGATAGACTGCAGGCCATTACTGACTCAGAAGATGAGGTCTGTAGATAAAAATTGAAAAACGTTATTTATTTTGTTCAACTTTTCATAAATTGCCATTCGAACTATGCCATGAAACAATTTAACTGGCTTGCCAGTAAGTATAAAGTCAAGGGCCAGTCCTTATCAACTATCTGAAGTTCATCTTAAAATTAGCAAAATACCAATATTTAAGCCTCTTCAACAAAAATAATAATAATAGGGTATTACCGCCTTTAGGCTACTGAGTAACAAGTCACAGCCAACCAGACGATAGCACGAGAGGCCTGGATATTAAACAGACCAACGGTGACATCCTCTGGACAAAATCTTGCAGGTAGTTTACTCTACCAGTGTGTCTACCAGGTAGTTTATGCTACCAGTGTGTTCCTCTCTGATATCACATCAAGAAATTAATTAGGCTCAGACACAGTTAACATTGCAGTGGTAACTAATCTGCTGACAATCAGAGATAGAACCTGACTTGTTTTGGCGTTCCACATTTTGATTTTAGTTGTCGCATAAATCTTATAGTGATGCAATGGAAGCCAGAGTACATAAAACGAGTACTTTGCACTCATGTCAGACACAGGCGTATAATTAGAGATACACTTTTGTATGACAGTTCACGTAAGTAAACATTCCCCAAGGCTAACTAACCAGACAGAAACATGTGGCAGGTTTAAACTGGAAGTTGACAAGTGTCAAAGCCAAACAAGAGCACAGTGGGGGCAAAAAGTGAAACACTAAATCACTGACGGCCACAGGAAAGCACTACAGAAAAAAAAAATGTTTAGTGGATATTAAAAACTTACAAAAATGCAGTTAAGAATGTTTAAACTTCTGTAAATCCGAAGCTAGAAGACATAAAAAGTATCCACTTTATGTTAAAGAAATTCTAACAGAGTAAAAGAACCTGTGCCAAAGTTTTATCTCTTAAAACACCTGTTACACTTGATGTCAGATGTGCCTGAATTAAAATGAAATTAACAAGTGAGAAGCCTGTAAACATGGAAATAATAACAACAATAATAATAATAATAATAATAATGAGAAGGTAAGATGAAGGATTACTCACCTTGCAGACAGCAAATGTAGTGGTGGGTGTCACTTACAAGGGGAGAGTGACTGAGTGAAGGAGTGTGGCTACTAAAGGCTTTCCTCAATCCTCCTTTCTTCCCTCCTCCCTATATTCCTCCCTGCCTCCCTCCTCTGTACATTTCTGTCTGGGTTTCATTCTTTGATACAAAACTTAGAAAATGTAAAGCTGGTTCATTTGAATGGGACCTATGTGTCTGTACAATATATATGTATATATATATATATATATAT